GTGCTCAGGCCCTTCAACAGAAACTGCCGTGTGACATCCCACTGGGGGCGTGGGAGCGGGCGGACGGCCCACAGGAGAGTGCAGCTCGTTTCCCAAACAGCCCCAGGATCAAGTCCAGCACGTCTGGGACAAGTGACGCACTTTCTTAAAATCAACGCAACTGCTTTAGTGCCTATTTATCCTCAATGGCCTTCTCCTTCTATGATTACAGCACGGATTTTTCAAAGGACAAAGAGCTCACTAATGAGAAAAATAACATCCTGTAATGCATTTTTAATTTTCTGTCTAATTTGTTACAAAAGCATATTTGATTAGTAATTTGAGTTTAGCAGGAAATATTAGAAGTTAACAAGGAGGCTTTAATATCAGTACATATTTCCTACTTCACTACATAAGACAAAGCAGCATCGGGGAAAAAATGACGGGAGGAAATGAAAATAACACACATTCTACTGTGATAATGAACTCAAGGCCCGCTCAGTTTAACAGAAATCTGGACACATTATATAAAAATAGACAAATTTTTGACTCATATATGAAACTGCAGTTGTTATATGACGCAAGTCTTTCTGTTTCTAAATCAGAGGTGTTTTGGATGAACAGAGGAGTTATGCTCACCTTTTACTAACAAGAAATACTTCCTATTCCATTTGAAATCTCACTTACCTAGGACAGATTGTTTTAAAAAGTACAGCAAAATACGTCTTCCTTTCCTGATACCCTCTTCTCTGACCCATTCATTCATAATACAGTGAAGCACCTATTAGTTTTAAGATTTTGGCCTTGATTCTCAGCAACAGAAATGATTCACAAATTGCTTTTTAAACATGACTGTCCGAGGTCGAGGGTGGGGGTGGGTGGTGGCGAGGGTACAGCTGCGTGGTAGAGCGTGTGCTTAGCATGCACGCAGTGCTGCGTTCCATCCACAGCACCTCCATTAAAGCAACCAATCAAATTATCTCTCCCCCCAAAATTAAAAAATAAATGAAAATTAAATAGAATCAGGGAATAGGGAAAGGGTCTTCTTAAAATAATAAAGATAAACGTAAAATAAAATAAACGTAACGGTCCAGGGCACAATCAACTGAGAAGACAACCACTGAGTAAGCTCCCCCACAACAGCATTAAAGTAACTGGGGCCACCGCTCCACTAGGAGAGCAAAGTGGGTGGCGTGAATTAGAACTGCATTCACAGGCTCGAGCACCGGTTTCAACGTCTTGGTTCTTGATGTGATTATCGCCCTCCTCCCATCCCTGTGGACACACAACTGTAATAGATGTTTTCCCCACCCAACAGTTTCTCCTGAATGAATGAATCAAAGAACGATTGGGTAATCATTGAACGTTTCACTGAAATGAATATGAAAATGTTTAATTAGTTGACATATTCAAGCATTGAGTTTTAATTAAGAAGACATAGGGCTCCAGAACGTTTACAAGCACATCGGAGCAGCAATGCCTAAAGAGGAAAATGACAAAAGGGCAACTGAGTCTCAAGCTACAGGCCATTGGAAGACATAAAACATCACTACCCAGGGGTGTTGCACACTTCAGACTATATACAAATCCATACACCACAAAGGGAGAATCAGACAGAATGCTTGCTAGTGGAAGAAAAGCACAAGTGTTTGTGTTAAATTCACTCCTTATTCAGAACGGCTCTTCCACTGCCACGTACAAGCGGTTTCTCTGTGCGACTGTGTCGGCAGGTAATGAACAGCAGGGAGGGGAAGAGAGAGAAAGGAGATGATTCTAAATGAGTAAAAGAAAATTAAGCTTTTATTAAGGAAAAAAATTGAATCCAAGAACAAACATTAAAATTCTGTCCTAGGTGCTAGTTCGCTGGCTGGAATGATGGAATTTGTGTTCTTCCTGGCCATCTCAGGATTTAAATACTTTTATGTGACAGAGCTGATCTGCTGATCAATAAAAAGACAACAATCATTTACACTGAGAGTTTAGTGCAATTTCCAGAATCTACAGTAACCAAGCTGAGTGTTTCTAGTGGAATCAATATACCACCACCTTCCTTAGTGAAGTGCACAAGTGAAGTGTGACTAAATTCTCAACAACAATGACTACGGATTAAAGAAAAATCAAATCAGTGGAAAGAACGGGTTTTGGAAATCACACGATGACAGTCTTTTTTGAACACATAATACTGCGCAAAATCCAGGAAAGCAAACAGATGTTCACTTCCATTTCCTCTTCTGCTATTTATCTTATCACTTGGGAAAAGCTTTCTTGTATTGCAGTTTGATTACATGTGCATTTTGCAAATTTCCAGATGTGTTCAAATGTTTCAATCTACATTATGGCTTTATATTTTAGGTCCCTATGATTCCCTAATCAGAGTTCTTATTTCTCTAAACATTAAATGAAATTGAAAATTTTCATATACCCCATTTAGATTGAGAGTATTATGGACCTTTTTTTTTTTTCCAAACTCGTCTTTTTAGATATATCGGTCTTCCATCTACTCAATGGATAATCAGTCCCATTATGCTGTACTATGATAATGAATCTCTTGAAAAGAATATTCACTTTTCTGCAAAAAATATTTTTGACAGGTGAGTTTGAGATAATTTCCTCTCTCAAATTTGTGCCAAAAAAATTCAGCCAGTTAAGTAAGACAAGCATCCTTCCAGTAATGGTGGCACCTGCAGTGGACTTCCCTGTGACGCTTACTGAATTGTGTGCCCCGAGAACTGTCCATGACTCCAGCACCTGAGATTTCGATGATGGACACAGACAGTAAACTTGTTCATCTCAAGATGCTAACATTGTGGAAGGAGGCATAACAGAGGCAGGATGCAAAACGACCCTGGAAAATGCCAGGAGCACTTACTTAATAGCAAGATGAGGCTGAATAAAAGCAAGGCAGTGCTGGACTTGGAAAACTGGGCACATGACAAGTATGAGAGAGGGTGTGACAAGACAAACAGAAATCCTCGCAGAGTCAGAGAGTGGGCTGGTGACACTCTGATGTGAGACCTGTGTTTGAACACTCTGACCAGCGTCTGAATCTGTACTTTCATAGATGCGAGAATCAAAAGCCTGAGGATGTCTGCAACTAACTAAGCAGTAAGGCTGCAAAGTCTCCAAACATGACTAGAAAAGCATAAAAGAAGACAACAAAATAGTGTCTTAGAAAAGCAGATGACGGGAAGTGTGAATGGTACTTTGGGACTCCAGTGACACTATAAAAGGCTCGGGGAAGGGGAACTGGGGGAGGGGCTAACGTGGACTGCCCAAAGAAACACTACTCGGAAACTGAGGCTTGGAAAGATCTAGACAAAAATGTGGATGGAAGTGTGACTGGAAGGGTCTGAAGCAAAGAAGCAACAAGAGTAGTAACTGTGAAAAGGAGGTTTTATAAGAATAGAGAAGAACACTGGAGCAATGGTTAGGGTTCCTGCTTCCTTCAGTTTGGAAGCACTGAGTGTGAGCAATCTCTAGCCCCTCACTCTATCATGACGTTCTGCAGTAGAACACTGACTCTTGTTCTAATGGTCGGCTACTGCTGAGTCTGGACAACTGTTAAATTGATCTGAAAAAAAAAAAGATGCTCTCGAGGCCATGGTCAGAGTGTCAGTTTTCATTCAATAATGGTTCAGCTTTCTGGAGTGAAAAAAGTCTGACCCACAGCTGTAGGTGCACTCGGGTCTTGGACGCCCATCTAAGGGGGATGTGCCTGGCGTTGTTCAGCTAGCACAACCCCTCAGAACCACACAGACCATCCTGAAGGGCCTGCGCAGTGTCAGAGGCATCACTTTTCTCGAAGAAATAGCATCTGACACTTGGAATAGAGTTTTTACGTATGTCAGAGTCTTCTTACTGGCTGCACCTCCGACTGGCAACCCTAAGTCCTGACATGGGCTGGTCTGCTGACCTGCAGAACAGGGTGAACTAAAACTGTTTCATGACCTTCTGTAGGTCTTCAAATAAAATTTTTCGTGATATCACCTTAATTTGAATTCTTTATTAACTGAGGCTTGTCTGTTTTTTAATCTGGAGCCTGTGACCTGAAATATGTGTATATCTTCTCAGGCAGAACAAAGTCCAAATGGTCACCCTTTGATACTGCAATGAAAACGTGATCAAACAGAACCAGGTTTCAAAAGGTTAATGAAATAAAATTCTACAAAAGGAACAGGGAAACAAACCCCAGACAGCCTTAAATGTGAATGTAAATGTTTCCTTGGAGAGCACTATTTGAAGTAATAGATTATTTTGAAGGGAATCTGTTCTGATAGTACAAAGGATCCAAATCCCTCTGCAATAAGCAGAAATTTCATTTATGTAGATAATGAGCTTATGCCAAGTTCATCGTCAGGAGTCGTTCAGGCAAACCTTTGCTTCTTCTTGGGAAGAATACATTTATTTTATTCATTCGCTGTGAAAGTTACACTTTGTAGTTTCTTAGCTATATAAATCATCATGGACTGAGGAGTGGGCCCTACAAGGTGGTAATAATCTGAAATCTGTTCAAATAAAGACTTCACAGTGGTCTCTCCAATCACCTGTTTCTTTTTAAAAAGACAGCTATGCACTACATATTCAAGTGATAAATTAGCCAGTTTACTGAAGGTTAAGGGCTTAAAACTCCATGTGGACAAAACAAACAAAAACACCCCACAAAGGTCCATTTAAAAGACAGGCCTCAGGATGCCAATGCCATTTGCACATGGGTAGCTAAATTCCAGCAAACATTTACCTTTTAGGAGTAAAGTCACCTCCAAACAGACTGGGGTTCCTGTTCATTATCTTTAAGGAACAACACTTTGCATCAGAATCCAACTCCTCACACAATACTTGATCACTACACATCAAAGCCCTCTCTCCTTGTCCTCAGTCCCTTCTTTCAAAGAGAGCTAATACGTATATGGGTTTACATGCTGACCAAGGTTTGTGGCAAATCCCTAGAAAGCACATGCTTTGAGAAGTTAACCAGGTTGAGTTCAGTTTTCACCTAAAACCATCCCTCCTCGGCTGGTTACCTGACAGGTGCGCCTCGGCTGTGGGCAGGCTTCAGCAGGACCGTGACCGTGTTGTCGGTTTGATTCAGAGGGGTCTCCAGTTCGTATGCCGGCATGGAGGGCGCTGGGGACGGTGCAGAGATGGGACACTCGTTATTTCCGGTTTACCTTTCCGTTTTCTTTCTACTTCCATTGACCAAGAGCATCGAGAACACGGCGCACTTAGTTTCAACTACAGACACGAACCCACCAGGCACAGCTTCCCTGTGTCTACCAGACCCAGAACACGGAGGCCAGCTGCTGAAGCCAGCAGCGGCCGCCTTCGTGATGCTGAGGGCAAGCTGGCGGGGAGCATGCAGGGGTCTTAGGAGGTGTTAGTGATTCTGCTGCTCAGTTCGGATTCTCGTTCAATGGATGTAACCAGCTTGTGAAAACTCACCCAGCTGTATGTTTATAAATTGTGTGTTTTTCTTTACATACGCTTCTCTTAAAAAAAATTGATGGTAAATTTAAGAAATAATTACTAGGATCATAAAACTGAACATCACAGTTCTCTCATCTAAGCCAAGGTTTCTGGTGTATCAGAGATCCATCCAGAGATTTGAAGAGGACGTTAGGAGCCAGAGAGGCTGGCTGGAATTACTGACCACTTGCGGGCTCTCTGGGAAAGCATGGCCATGGAAAAGATTCTGAGTTGAATTAAGAAAGGCTTGGGTTTGACTTTCTGCTGTTTTGTTTCAACTAGCATGAGAGCTTAGGTACATTATCTCTGAAGCTTCAGTTTATTCACCTTTCAAAACAGGAGAAATTACCCTCCAGGACACTTATGGGAATTCAAAGAGGTAACAGAAAAAGAAAGCCAGGCAAATACAATTCTATAAATATCAGTCCTCTTTCCAGGGTGAACTCTACTTCCAAGGCCGTTTCCTGGCATTCTCTGTTTTCTGGGTTGTTAGGTCTCATTACGAGAAGACAGAGAGTTCTTCAGTAATTTTGTCATCACGGTGGACAAGAGCCCTCATTTCCTGAAGGCTGTGGTAAGTGTGTGGGAGGGGGGACCTCGTCTCTTTCAGACCCTCGCATATAGATAGGTAGCCGATGAGAACGCTAGGGATCTTTTTTCCCAAATACGGTGTTTTAAATCTCCTACATATAAAAGGTTTTTATGTAAAGGACATGGGTTCTATCTTAGGTCCATTTATTAGATTTTCTCAGCATTGAAAATTAACTCTAATTCTATTAAGAATTAACTTTAATTCGTAATACAGAATTACATTCTGTACAGAGAGTAGTTCTCTGAGGTCCATGAAAGTAGAAAATAGGGGGCCATAAACTGTAATTTTCTTGAACGATCAAAATCAGATAGTGATTCTGGATGAGCCTGGTGGGCCATTTAAAATGCCCACCATCTTTGCTTCTGGAGAGAACTGCTGAACTCGGTGGGCTAAGTGGCCAGATGCGTATCAGCCAGAATTTTCATCAAACACAAATGGAAAAAAAATGAACTACTTTTTTCCTAAACGAACAGCTTCTTAGAGTTAATAACCTTTGAAACGTGGTTTCCATAGGAAGAAATTACCAAAAAACGGGGGCTTGGAGGTATTGGTGACTGCCACACAGTTCCTCTCTAAATCTCAGGATAAAGCCATACATCAGATAATATTATCTTAATTTACATCCAGGCATAAATTCACTGGAACAAGATACGAAGGGAAGTACCTGGAAAAATGGTACCTAAACTCCATGTTTTCCGACTCTGGGCCCAGAGGTTTCCTGTTCGTTGTCTGTGCGACCTGAGCCACCCTGACCTCCCAGGTGCGCCTTCCTCATCTCCCACTCCCCAGATTGCTTTTCTAAGTTAATGCTTTGATCAAACACTGAGTGTATAGTACATTTCAAGGTAAGTTTGTGCTCATAAACAAAACCTTACACAACGAAAAGCAAAACTCCAAACCTCCGTCCCTCAAAACCCAGCAGAAGGTTTACAGCACTCTAGCCGAGCTTCCCTTCCTTCAATTCTAAAGAAAACTTTCACAAAACTAGGGAAGAGGGACAACAGACATAAAAATCCGGCTGAATATTACTTAGCTCACCCTGAAGCATAAGAAGACTTCCCTCCCTCACCCGCCTCCTGTTCACCCACCCCCGACCGAAACAGTCGAAGCCCCAGCTCAACGACTTCCCTGCTCGGAGCCAGAGGTGGGGGAAATGGAACAGGAAAATGTCGGTGGAATTGTGTTTATTGCTGGGACACATCCCACGCCAGATGGCAACTCCATTTCCTCTAGTCTGAAGCAAAAGGCATTTTCTGCACAGTTGCACAGGACCAGAAATATTTCCCAAATTATGTCTTTTGTTGGACGACATAATTGTGTCTCTATGAGAAAGAAGCTGGAGGACTCAAGCGCCTGGTGGCCAGCTCCCTCTGCAGTGGCCTCTCTCTCCTGGACGTGAAACCTCTAACGGTGAAGGTCCCATGGATGGCCGAGCCTTCCAGAAGGGACTTCACAGAAGGCCGTCTCTCTGCTCAGTGAGCACTCCATCGTTTGTGGCTCGTTACAGAGACTTTTCCAACACTGCTGTGCTGGGAACTTGGGACTGCCAGGGGTAAGAGTCTCAGCACAGAATCGTCCACTTACGTCCAAGTCCTCCCATGCACACTGTTCCAACAGTGCCTACTTCCCAACACTGGACGATGATCTTAAGCTCCCACATTATAAATCTTTGTAGTATTTCACTGAATTCCATGAGCCTGATTATCATCTACCCCAAAATATTAACTGATGTGTACGCTGGGGTGAGCTTTGCATACTTGACCATGGGAATGAAAAAGTACCAAAATGCTACTTCTGGTAAAAGGCATAGCCCGTGAGTGTGTAATACCTGATATTTTGGTGGTGAACTGACTTGTTGCTGGAGGTCCAAAGCCTTTAGCTGTGCTGGCTCGGATGGTGAAGGAGTACGTGGTTCCCGGATACAGTCCAAAAAAGAGAAAGTGGGTTTCATTTCCCAGTTTTGAAACTCTTCCGCTTTGATTGGATAAATCTATTTCTGGGTCAAAGGAACTGACGGCTTTGTAGGTGATCTGTAAGAGAGGAAGACTGTGATAAAACATCTGGAGCAGATGGACCACAACTGCATCTTTATCCAATAAAGAGATGCCTCTGATGTACGCGCTGTCAGGCACCTTCAGATGGACTCCCCAGCCCACTTAGACTCTTCAAACCCTGGATCCAGTGAAGGGGCACAGGAACTCAGCCAAAACTGCTGTGAGTTATTACTTTTATAGACAGAGGATCTGAAAGCCAGTAGATTAGAACATAAAGAATGAGTTCAGGTTTAAGCTAACACCTCAGAGTTGTTTGCTTTCAAAATGTCATGTTGGAAAACTACTTTATAGCCGGCTTAAAACAAAATAACACAACACACAAGTAGCTCCAACAGATAAGGACCCGGCGATGGGGTGGGGGGGCTTGTCTCTCACCCAGGGGCCAGGGCCTGATTCTGCACCGAACAGATTATTGTCCACTGGGAACAAGGGCACTTTTAAGTGTTGTCATCAATGAGGGCAAAGACATCTGCTCCAAAAATAAATCCGAGACACGCGTCAGCGGCTCCTGACGCTGTGACGGCGGCGTCTCTGACGTGTCCTGTCTGCTCTTCTCTGTAGAGCGATGCTGCCCGGCAGAACTTGTCGTCACGATGGGGATGTCCTACTCTGCGCTGTTCAGTGCGGAAGCCACCAGCCACAAGCGGCTGCAGGGCGCTCAAAATGTGGCTGGTGAGACTGAGGAATGGAATGTTTTATTTCACTTTTATTATTATTTCAATTGAAGTATGGTCGATTTATACTGCTGTGTACTTTTCAGGTGTACAGCAAAGTGATTTGGTTATACACACATATATATATTCTTTTGCAGATTCTTTTCCGTGGTAGGCTATTACAAGGTATTGATTATAGTCTCCTGTGGTGCACAGAAGGACCTTGCTGTTTATCCATTTCATACACAGTAGGGGGTATTGTCTCATCCCAAATTCCTAATTTATCCCTACCCACCTGCCATCTTTGGTAGCCGTAAGTTTGTTTTCTATGTCTGTGAGTCACTTTAAGTCACTAAAATTTAAATTTAAGTTGCCCTGTGTCACTAGGAGCTGCCATTTCAGACAGTGCAGCTCTGGAAGCTTCCGTGATGTTTGCCACATAAAGGGTGTTCAAAGCATGCTGGGTGAGTCTGGACTGTGTGAAAATAAATGTAACAGAGGTGTCTTTAAATGTGCCCTTTCAAATGATTTTGTGGAGAATTTCGCTCTAAGTAGTTCATCAACTATTCGAGAACATGCATTTTAGTGGTGATTACTAACTTTTACTGGTTGTAATGACATAATTTTTAAACGTGGCATATTCAAAAGTTTTAAATTGCAAAACTGAGCACTTTCCTTGCTTTTAAGTAGGTTAAAGTTACTTATAATTTATGTGCATGAACACTAACACTGTTATTATACGAAGTGATAACTGACATTCTTTCTTCTTATATTTATACCATGTCATTATAATTAAGGAGCCCTCTCAGAAGGAGTATTTAGATTGAATCAACTAAGCTTTGGCAAGAAAATGTTTGCTGTGTATATTAATCACCGCTGTGCATGACATCACCAGAGGCAGCGTCTCTGCTGTTAACCCTCTAGCAGGCATCCCCCCCAAGTCAAGAGAAAAGACCACGTCCAGCCCCGGCTGCCGTCGAGGGGACTTCAGCCACGTCACTGCTGCGCACTTAGCTGCTTTCTTTGATCTCCCCCCGATAGCCCCAGAGGACAGCGTGGCTCAGAGAAAGCAGATCTAAGCTTTGACAACTGTTGATTAATTCACTCATTCACAGCATCTTCATTGCACATCTCTTGCGTGCCAAGCCCTGTGCCTGGGGCTGAGGTCTCAAGTGGTGACTCAGACACGGTACTTGCCCAGGAGGAGGTACGAGCCTGGTGGGGAAGGAGAGACACGGCCCAGCAGTCATGATGCAGGATGATCAGAACGAGGGCTGGTACTTCCCGCCAGGGCTGAGCTAACCCTGCTCATCTTACTGCCTTACTGAACACTTCACTGGGACACGAATATTCACTACGGGACACAGTTTAAATTTCTGAGCTTCATGCTTAAGACCTGTCTACACTTTCTTCTCCAAACTTACTTCTGAATCCTTGACACAGGGGCATTCTATTTTCTTCTGTCCTGGTCAGGGATAAAGATTTACTGCCCCCAAACACTGGGCTTTTCTGACTCTGCTTTTGCTCATGAACCTCCCACTTGCCTGGAACGTAATGGGTTAATTCTGTTCCGTTTCCTCCATGAATTCAGAGTCATTCAAGCCATTCAAACACTGATGCACTTTGACTCTGCAAGCACTGTGGTCAGCAGGCAGACAGAGCCCTGCCCTCAAGGAGCTAAGAATCTGGACTGCGGTAGGGAGGAGCTGGGGTGATATCCAGTAAGTTAATAATTTTTAAACACTAAGTTCCATGGAAGAAACAAACAGGGTGCTAAGGTAGAGTATTGTGAGGGAGAGGGGTACATACATAGTCACTTAGAATGGCTGGGGAAGGGTTCCCCCCAACCCCTGCCCCAAGAGAAGACAGTGAATTTGAGGAATCAGCCATGCCAGGAGTTTGAGGGAAGAACAACATAAACTAAGGCCATGAGGCAGGAGCGTCCTAGGCATGGCTGATGCACAGAAAGGAGGCCTGGGTGGGGCAGCCCGGGAGCGAGGTGGGCGTGGTCCCTGGAGGCTGGAGACGTGGGCAGGGCCACATCACGCAGCAATCCCTACCCCAAGGTAGAAAATGGGGAGACACAACCGGAAGCCTTGAACACTTTAAGTATGAAAATAAAATGATCTGATTCCCCTTATAAAAATATCACCTTGGCTGCCACGTGGAGGGCTGATTTGCTAGCAGGGGCCACTGCAGGTGGGAGGGAGACCACTAGGAGCTGCGGCAGAGGCCGTGGGTAAGGCTGTGGCACAGGCACAGAAGGCAGCGCCGTGGACTCAGGTGAGCCCCCGATGGGAGAAATGCACGAAGAGAATCGGCATATTTCAGAGCCAGAATGGACAGAACTCAGAGACAGACTGGGTGTGGAGAAAGATGGGAGAATCAAGGATGAGGGCCATGATTTGAGCTTGAGCAAAAGATGACCCTATTCACGGAAATGGGACGGAATAAACGGGGGGGAATTAACTGTTGGGTGGTGGGCATATCACATTTGAGATGCGTGTGACAGTCACATGGATACACCATGTACGACACCGCATAGGACAGGGCTGGGTGGAAGCCGAGACTTGGGGGTGGGCAGCTTTGGGATATTACGGTTCAGGAAGGGATGACGTCACTGGGGAAATACTGATATTTAATATGGGGCAGAGAAGGAGAAGCGAATGAAAAGAACCGGAGTGCAGGAAGAAAGCCGGAAGACAGCTGTCAGAAATCAAAGGAAAAAAGGGTTTCAAGAAGGAAATGCTTTCAAAGGTGCTGCTGGGAGTTCACGACAGGAACCCCAAAAGCGCCCATCTCGGTCTCAGGCCGGAGCCCCAGTCTGCTTGTCCATAAAGCCTTCCAAAGCCTGTCCCGACAACCACTGGCCCCGCTAAATGCCAGTGGCTGTTGCCTGTGTTCCTACCATCCAATTGGCAATAGATCATGGAGTGCTGTGAGAGCTCTTCGCAGCCTTCAGTCATGATTTAAATACACCAAAGGAATGGAAACTCTTCATATAATTGCATCTGCTTTCTGATGAGTGACTGATACTTTCTTCTTTCAGATCCCGCTGTGACCAGTAAATATTTGGCACTCAGTGTATATTTTCCCAAAGACTCCCGGGGAGAGCAGGTGCGTGCAGGCACTGGCGTAAACACTCATCCCACGGCGAGGAAGATGTTTACTCCACCAGCACAGCCCACAGAGCAGAAAGCAAATGCTTTATCAAAGGCTTGCTCTTTCACTGGGGCTGATGGGCTTGGCCTCACCTGTAGCCTCGGACTTGCGGGGTTCTGAACTGTCTTTCGGTCACAGCCCTTGGTAATTCATTAAAAAGCACAGAGCCTCTCTCCCCAGCCCATTAACAATGCACATATACACTACGCCCTCTTAAAAATAATGCATCCACTCCCTCACCCCTAACAAACCTTAACAAGCACACAGGTTGTGTCTCGGTGGACATAAAATGTCAGAAAATTCATGGATTCCCCCAGAGACCTGGGAGTCTGAATTCCAGGGATAAAAAAGTTCCTTAGGAACGGGTGACCTTGACTCTAGAATTCCACCACCCGTGCAGAGCTGATGTGCAGCGAGCACCCGGTCACCTGAGCCGTACTTCTGAGGAGCACCTGGCTCCACGCTCATACCCACATGCCACGTGTCCTTTTGGTATTTAGTTTTTCATTCCTTCATTGGGCACGTGTTTACTAAATGCCTCCTAGGTGCGAGGCTGTGGAAGAGCAGCGGGAAGGTCCCAGAAGGCACATCTAGAACTGAGCTCACACTTGGACGTTTTCGCTGCCTGAGGGCCAAGGCGATTTTAATGATGCCGCCACTGAGAACACTGCTGCTCCAGGGTGCACCCAGGGAATTCATGGGATGCCCAAACAGAAAGCAAACCGACATGCCAACACCATACGTGGGGTTAGCTTAGGCGAGATGCAGTCAACTGCCTCTTACGTTGGATGATTCCTGATTTGTAGGCAGGTGCCTGAAATGCTCCAAAATCATCTTCCCTTCCTCTACCTAAGTCTTAAATTGTGAATGGAGACATTCACGGAGAACCAAAACAGCACAGCACACAGACCCTGACCAGGAAGGGAACCAGTCTTCCAGGGAGTGTGAGTCGGCTGAACGCCAGCGTTAAACACAGTCCTCCAATGGCGGTCCACGCCATCAAAGGAATGAACAAGTATGTCTGATTGCAGGGGAGGAGAGGACCTAAAATACTTCAGGGACAAGTACAGAATTTGACGAAAACACTGCAAGAGGAGCAGGCGCACCAGGGGGAGGGCGTCGGGAGGAACGGAGGAGCTGGGCAGAAGCAGGTGTGCCAGAGCAGAAAGTTCTCGGAGAGAAGAAAACTCCACATACGTGGGTCGTTAATGCCAGGTGACATTCATGGGAGCTGCAGTAATCAGCATAAACTGGGGTTATAGCACAGAAGGCCTTCATTACTGACACCAAGCGGGGCCCCCAAGTTCTACTTCCTTCTACCTGATAACCTGCCTTAGCTGATGGGGATTCACTGAGCCCCTTCTCCACGGTGGGCATCTCGGGGTGTCTGCAACTGTCCATCCATCAGTGCCCTAGCCAACGACCCAGGCCTTTCTACTTTACTACGTGCCCGACAACACCACACACGGCATCGAGGGCTGAGATTCGGTCCTAGTTTCATTCTCCTCTATAATTAGCTGCTGGTAGGACTGCTTGCTTCTAGCAGAGAAGGGAGAGAATCTTTTATGTTTGGTCTTCTTCCAGTACCTTGTGCACATAAAATGTTTTCTGTTCTTTTGTTTTCTTTTTTGGAAAGCTTGTTGGCATGTGACTCTTGTGACCAGGAGTCTGGAGCTTACTCACTAAGCAATCAAGAGCTAGTAAAATTAGTGAGGTGCAAGGAAAATACTTGAACACATATCCCTGTGTATCTGGGCATATTCATGACGGATAAACTTCCTTCAACAGGCTTGAGAAGCCGTGTCTGCGTTTTGATGCATACTCCCAAATCGTCTACATAAGGGGCTGCAAGACGAATGCTCCCATCAGCACTTGGTGCGTACACACATTTCTCCGCATCCCTGCTTAACACCGGATATGCTACGAACTTCAGCTTTCCGTAGCGTTTGTCTTATTTCATTTCTTAATCCTTTTCATACACTTACATGCCCTTGGATCTTTTCTATGAACTGACTCCTCTTAGTCTTCATCCGGTTTTTCTAATGGAGCGTTTTGTCTACTTCATATGCGTATCAAGTGCATTGTAATAACAGCCACCAGCCCGTGGACTGCTACTAATGTGGGAAATGGTTTCCCCAAGTCTTCTCTTTGTATTTAGACTTTCTTTATGGTCTCTTCTACCATTCAGAAGGTTAAATTCTTCTACAAACGCATCTATCAATCCTTTTTAAATGACTTCTAGGTTTTATGTCAGGGAGTATCACAAAAGCGTCTTTCTTATTTTTCTTATCATGTTCCTATAGTTTAATTTTCGTGTTTAGACCATGAATCTATTTGGCATTTATTTCTGTATGATGTGGAGGGGGTCTTATATGGCATATTATTCTTGTAATAAAATGCTGGGTTTGCCAGCATTTATTAGATTTTATCCATCCATATTCACAAGTGACTTGCACTATAAATTTCTGCCTTATAAAATTTTGGAAGCACAGGCATCGAGTTTTGACAGGAGTTACCTTTGAAAAGTGAATTTGGGAAGCAAGGATATTTTATCTTGAATACTTCTGTATTTAAAAGAGTCTTTCAGAAAACAACATTGCATTTATAATTTGATAGAGTAAACATTTTGACGGCTACTGAGGAAAAGCGTAGTTATCAGTCCCAAGTGTACGGAAGATGACTTGGATGGAATTAAACAGCTGATCAGGAGGCAAGGCCTGAGAAGGACCAGAGCTAGACCCCAGGTGGAGAGAAGAGACAGGAAAGGCTAGTTCGAGAACACTGAGGATGGACATCAGGAGAGGAAAAAGGGGAGGACAAAGAATAAGCCCACGAGATGCTTCAGTGCCGTCAGCTACCATGACTCCTGGCAAGAGACGCCGTCAGCACTTCCCAACCATTAATGATTTGGCGTCTCTTTCATAAGAGTGTAAAGAGGAAACCTGAGAATAAGGTGAGCTCATAGCATGTTCACTTATAGCATCTACAATATTCTGCCTGTTTATCCTTCTCTCCTATACTATCCAAATGTGCCCCTCAAGAAACACCCACATCATTTATTACTAAGCTTTATTTCAACTATGATAATTCACCTTGCCTTCCAGTCAAATGTGTTTCCATGAATACCCTGTTCCTAAGATCTCTGTTCCCCTTTGGGCAACTCTTACTTCCTCAGCATGTCTGTCCCAGAAGGCTGTGGTCTTCCATGGAGGGGACTGGGCCAGGTTCATCATCAGCCCTGCCCCAGGAGGAAGCCAGCTCTCCTGCAGACTCTGGTACAGGCTGGGAGTCCCAGTGTCCTAGCTATCGGGGAGCTCCACACACACACCCCATCGAAGGGCCACCTTGAGGAATCTGGAGCTCCCTCCTCCCTACTTCCAGAAAACACGAGGAAGAGAGGGGAAAAGATTCGGCAGTCCGAAATTTATATTTAATCACCTAAGCCTGATTCACACATTTGACATTTTCTCTTTGGTGTCTAGAAAAAGGAAAAAAAAACCCAACCTACTTTTTTTACCTGTATCTAATTTCTAAAATCCTGATTTATGACATAGCCACACTTCCCCTTTGCAGTAGCACTTTGATCAGTGTTCAACTGGGGACCCTGGCTGCCGAAGTCACAGAGATGAATGGGTTCTTCTTCTGAATTATGCTTTCTATTGTTTTCATGGCAAAGTTACTTATTACACGAAATCATACTAGCGGGATGAGGAGGAAAGAACCTGGCCTTTATTTTCTGTCTGTCCAGATGTAAGCATGTGGCTCTTCGGACGGGGGACTTACTTCCTGGAACTTCGTGCTGATTTCAGAGACTGACTCTTGTCTAGTAAAGTGCTCTGTTATCCTTAGGTAAGAATCCACAAAACTGAGAACTAAAAATGGTCCTGGGGCCAAAAATATTCTCTAAAAGAGTCTGATCGCTGAGGAAAAAAATATTAACTTGTTTGATTTGATTATAAAACTTAGGTCTATAAAAGCACAGCCATGCATTTTCGTGACACTCGACTCTGACAACGAGGCAGCCAATGGGCAGCAGTGATAACTTAAGATGAAAATCAACTTTTTTCTGTTCTCTTTGTGTAGCTTTCAATTAACAATGATTTTTTTTTTGCATTTCAGTACCAGTTTTCAAAAGGTATAAGGAAACATAGCTGTGAGGCCAACTGGGTTAGGGAAAGGGCTTGCCAGTGATGACTGTCTGACAGCTAAGCTTCTCAGGCGTTGTCAGTAGCTCTGAAAGGTATTCAGAGTTTCCACAAGAAGAATGGCTGCGAATTTTAGAAACCTAACAACATATAATTTGGTTGAATTTGCATTCAAATAAATGCTAGCTTTGGGGGGAAAATGCACCTGCCTGTTTCTATGACAATAGGCAGAGAAATCAGGCCCACAAAGATGTGATGATGAGTGTCACCGCAGCTGCTGTACTTTTTCCTTGAACAATTCATCAGACTCTTCTCTGCGATCCATCATTCCACCACTTGATATGCCTCAATAGACAGAAGCGTGTCACAGAAGTCTAAAGGTTGTTCTGCTAATGCACAGAAACCAAAAGATGTTACTCTGTTGTCACTCCCGAGACAATGTCTATTGACTCTGCTAATTGGATCATCAGCGTTCTTCTATAATTCAGGAGTCAAATATTTTATAGCTGGTAGGAACACGCTTCTGTGGTTGCCTCCTGAATAATGTACACTGTGGAGCACGTTGTTTTTGATAAAGGTGACTTTAAAAATGTATGTTGCATCTTTACATACAAGAGCACCTACTCTGGAAACATCTAAATCATTATGAATATTCAGCCTGAAAATTACAGCATTCAAAAACTCATTTTTAATTTTTTTTGCTTCTGAACAGTAACCGTTGTAACTACCGAAAGCCTTAAACTTCTTAAAAGGCATGATGCCACTATGTTACTTTAAATACTAGACAGTCTAGCTATCATGGAAATTGTAATAAAAGTCAAATTACTAACAAATGTATACACTACCTCATATAAAGTGATGACACCATACGTTTGAATTGGTTCTCGCCACTGAAGAAATATCTTCTCTTCAAAGGTACTTCCTTGGATGGATTCAGTAGGAACAGCCCCTGGTACTGGAAGGGGGGAAAATCGATACATATTTAAGGAAACCAAAAAATTTCTTTCTAAACTTGATAGGTTTTTAACTCTATTGAGGCATAAGGTTTTAATACATGTACTTGATTTTCCTTTCAAAACTGGAATTTAAAACCATTTTGGCCATTCTGTCCTTATAAAGAAAAGAATTTCACCACTGTTTTTCCTCTAAAAGGTTGCACTCAATTAGACAAAGTTCAGTGATCATCTTGGAAGTAAACTTTGTTATTCTTCAGAAATAAATGAAGAAGGATATAGAGCAACGAGAATTCCTACACTGCTTGTGAGACTATAAACTGGTACAGCCACTTTGGAAAATAACTTGGTAGTATTTAGTAAAGTTACAGAGACACGTATCACACAACCCAATAACCCCATCTCAGGTATATGCCCTAGTAATACTCCTGCTCATATGGAGATACATACCGGGGGTCAGCAGAGCAGCTTTTTAAAATAAAACTCATACACTGGAGACAAAAAGGTAGTTTAATAAATTATTTTATATTCACACAATAAAATACAAAGAAGACTGAAAATGGATGACAGCCACATACATCATCACAGATGAATTTTATAACCATAGCACTGAGTGACAAAAGCATGCCGGAGAAGAATACATACGAGCTACTGCACTTCTACTGAATGTGCCTAGGAAAAATACACACAAAAACAGACGCTTTACAAAGACGTGATGCAGATGAAGTAATATACTTAAAAATGCTTTATTCATTCATACTACAACAGATTTGGGAAAGTTTGTTGCCATTTTTTAAAATCTATAATATGTAACGCCTTTTGATTAGTTGGCAGGAAAATCTACTTGACATCAGGGAAGATGGAAATTTACTTGCCAATTTTCTACAAAATAAGGTATAGTATTTTAGAAACACTGTTTATCTCATATTCGTCTAACTTCAGTTTGTAAGTACACTTTGTATTATACACAGTTTAGTGTATTCATGTACCTATCCTATTTATCAACTAGTATATCTGTACTACTTATAAATTTGCATAAGTTTGGTAATGGGTTATCGAATCTTTTGGTGATGGTGTGAGTAATCAAACAGTGGTTGGAGGGGGGAGGGTAGAGCTCAGTGGTAGAGCGCGTGCTTAGCATGCATGAGGTCCGGGTTCAATTCCCCAGGGCCTCCACTAAAAATTAAATAAATAAATAATTTAAATAAATAAATAAATAAATAAATAAATAAATAAATAAATAAAAACCGAATTGCCTTCCCCTCAATTTTTTTTAAATTAAAAGAAAAACATTGTTTAAAAAGTGGTTGGAGATGACTGACACTTCTCAATCTAAAGGCTGCAGTATCAAGACATCATGGTATTGGCGAAAGGACAGATGTATAGATCTGTGCGATCAAACTGAGTCCAGAAAGAAAGCCCCACACTTACAGTCAACTGATTTTCAGCAAAAATGCCAGGAAAATTCAATGGCAGTGAGAACAATCTTTCCAGTAAGTGGTGCTGGGACAAGTGAACACCCACATTGAAAGGGTGGAGTTGGTTTTCTATCTCATACCAAATACAAAAATTATATCCAAATAGATTAAGGAGCTAAATATAAGAGCTAAAACTACAAAACTCTTAGAAGAAAACATAGGTGTACATATTCACGACACTGGATTAGGCAATGGCTTCACAGATACGATACCAAAAGCAAAAACAGCAGAAGAAAATACAGACAAACTGTAAAACATTAAAGTGAAAAGCTTCCGTGCTTTAAACGGCATTATCGAGAGACCAAAAAGACAACACGCAAAATGGCAGAACGTTTCTGCAGATCACATATATGTCAAGAGACTTCTATCTAAAATACATAAAGAACTGTTAAAACCCAGTAAGAAAATAAGTAATCCAAGTAAAAGTGGGCAAAGGATCTGTACAAACAGGTCTCCTAAAAAGATACACATATGGTCCATAAGCACATGAAAAGATGTCCAACAGCTTAGCCAGCAGGAAAAGGCAAGCTGAAATCACGGTAAGATACCACTTCACACCGACTGGAATGCTTAAAATCCAAAGGCAGATAATAACGAGCACTGGCAAGAATACGGGGACACTGGAACCCTCACACACGACCGGTGGGAATGTAAAAATCACACAGCTACTCTGAGGAGTCTGGCAGGTCTATGGTTAAACACAGATAAATTTACCATACGACCCAGCAATTTCACTCCTAGGTATTTACCCGAGAGAACTCAAAATACGTCACTCAGAAGCTTGTACACAAATATTAAGAGCATCATTATCATAATAACCAAAAAACAGAACAACATAAATGTTCATCAACTCATGGCTGGATAAACACCTCTCAATAAAGGTTAGATGAGGGGGGCTGGAGAAACGCTTTATGAGCTTGTGGAGGGTATGAACAGCCCTTTAGGGGCCGGTGAGATCTCCCCAGGTTGGAAAGACTGCTTAGAATTTCCAAAGAACTCATAGTGAGTACACATTTGTTTCCCTGAGGGGCTACCAACAGGCAGACGAAGGACATTTATAGCTATTCTAAGTAGAGCTAAGAATAGTTTTGCAGAAAAAACATTACTGGTTCCGATGGGGGCCTGGGTTCTGATTTAAGACTGTCTAGTAGTTAAACCGCACTTGGGGCAATTCACTGACCCCTTAGGTCTCAGTTGACTCACGTCTAAAATGAGGAAGTTGGAGTAAGTTGATCTCTAATGTCCAGACTCTAAAAAATACATAAATATGAAAATAATTGTTTGTCAGAGGTTGAAGGAGCTGATGTCAAATTCCCTCAAAGCAAAGAAAAACAAGGTGTTCTTAAAAGTTACGAGCCTAAGAGAATTTGGATTCGCGTCCCTGAGACTAAAATGCTCATCACAGTCAGAAGCTGCACTGACACGGGCCTCCTAAGGCTCCTCCTCTTTGCCCTGAAAATGTTTCCTGTGATGCCACCATCAGGCTCCTCGCAGCAGCAAGACCGTTATGATGCGTGGTCCTGTTATTTTGTGATGATACTTCTTAATTGAAAACACTCATTAATCTCTGTACAGATGAAAAGAAGGCAAAAACAGGAAAAACCAAGCCTTTGGTTTCGTTCAAGTAGTACAAATGAGAATAAAATTTAAAAAAAAAGAGATTGTCAAAATTATGTGGAACAGAGGTTATCTTACAAGAATAAACTCAGTAAAATATACTGGAGGCCTTGTAATGGACGGCGTCACGGCAATGTTAACAGAAAAACCTAAATGAAATTCATATCACTTTTTTAAAAAGTCAGGAACAGATAAAATGAACTAAAACAAAATACCAGAAGAGTTAGGTAAACAGGGAAGACAGTACCTCACAGGAACTCAGGCCTGGTGCCTGTTCTTAGAAGTTCGAGGAATTCATAATTTGGGATATAGAGCATATCTAAGTTTGAGGAATTGTGCCCTATACTATCTGGTGACACTATTAACGGTAATAAAAAGGATACATTTTCCCCCACATATTTTCTAATGAAATAAAATGTATTTCAATAAAAATATTATACGACAATAAAACTTAGTGTTCAAAGAATTACAGCCTTTGTTAAGGGCAGGTAAATGAAGTGACCCTTCCATTCTTTTCTCTTCAAATTCAGTATTAACAATTATTCTACTTCTGTCCTTCCTGTCTCTTTTTGGGAGGGGTAATTTTATTCATTCATTCACTCATTTATATATTTAACAGAGGTACTGGGGATTGAACCCATGACCAAGTGCATGCTAAGCTATACCCTCTGAGCTACACCCCTCCCTGCTTTTCTGTCTTTTTTTGAAGCATTTTTTTTAACTTTGGTTGTTGTTAGGAAATATAATTTGAAATAAAAGTTTTTCTAATTACCTGGATGCCAATGTACTAAGACAATAGGTTTTTATTTGGAGGTAATGCTTGCCCCAACTCCAGGGACTAGCAAGACCATGTCAATACAAAAACGAAAAAGTAACTTATTCTGACCTGATGTTTTGAGAGACCCTAACAGAATTCCCAGTTCATGTCAATCTGAAACTCAAAAATGTTGATGGGGCTCATGCTTCAGCAAAACATCCGCTCATCTCTAGACATGACTGCATTTGATGTTCTTTTCTCATTGATGGAAACATCCCTGTTGATTTAAGCCTGAATTAAATGATCATCAGCAAACTTTATTATTTTATTTAGAGACTAATAAAATATTTTGAGTGTTTGTTACCTAGTCAATGTCATGCATATTGCTACAGAAGAAAAATACATGGCTTTACCGTTAAGAAAAAAAAATTCTATGTAATATAATGAGAGAACAAAAAAGGGTCACAAGAAGTTGCTTTGAATTGTTACAACAGTAATAAAGCTCACCTTTCAAAGGCTCCTCTCTGCAGCTATAAATAGCTCTCTGTGTAAATGTTTTCTCACCCTAATATACCTGAGATTTGTATTATCCTTACTTCTCAGATGAGCAAATCAGGCCCAAAGATTTAAAGATCTAACAGGTGCAAATCAGGTCAGAAGGATGAGAAGCAATGAGGGCTGGAAGAACTGGAGACAGCTTCACAAAAGACCTGGTACTCGAGGAGCATTCTGGAGGGTAGCAGAGGAGAATGAAATGGGGGACACCCAAGTGGGAAGGCAGGTAGCAGAGGAGAAGAGACAACAGGGGTGGGGCACACTCAGGATGCAAGGAAAGCTCAGGATACAGGACCAATGCCAAGGAGATGTCTGTGCAGGATGAGCAGCCATGGAGGAAAGGCTACCAGTCTTAGGGTATGAGCCAGGAATGCCGAAGACCTTGCAAGTACAGATTTGGAGAGAGTCATCGATGGCTCTTGTGGAGAGAGTGACATGATGCAAACATATTTGAAAGATTAGTGAGTGACTAGGGGTGCACTAAAATGGGAAAAGCTGGAACTACAATGAAAGGTTGGAAACTACTGCAGAAGTTTGAGCATAGAATGAGAATCTGGGTACAGGTCGTGGAATTTGAGAGATAAAAACAATCTAATATATTGGAAGCAGCAACAACACGAGTTAGGACCTAATTAAGTACTGACATGCAGGGGACTAAGGGCCCAGAAATGATCTGCTGATGATGCTGAAACTTTCTTCCATTTTTCCTGGGAGATGAGGAACAGGTGGAAGAAATCGAGACAGGGCTTCCAATCTCAGCCTTGACTGAGTGACTTGTATCAAACTGATACTCCTCAGAAAAATAATTGTACTAAACCAGCTATTTGAGAGCAACCAAGGCAGGCAGGACTTGAGGGGCTACACGAAAGAACAGAGAAGATGTGGGGTGAGCTTCTCATTTTCTCTGGCCGTTTCCATGTTTTTCTTTCATAGCAACAAGCATAGTGTTGCATGAGTAACAGACGCGCAAAGATACTTTGTCAGCTCTTTACGTGAAAAAATAAAGTCTCGTTATAAACATTTATTTCACGTTATAGTCGACAATCAAAGATCATACTTGCCTGCTTGAGGAGAAAAAAGTGAAACATCTATTTTTCCCAGGAATAAATAAGTGTATTCATTTAATGGGCTTCCCAAATTGTTTGCCACTTACTCTGAAGCCTGACAAGCGAATTTCAAGTAAAATACATGATATAGCACCACTGTAGTTTATGTGCTACATGAACACATTATTGTACATGAGAGTCCCTCGTACAGTCAGTGTGAAAGCACATTTATAGCCATGCTATGGGATTTAAGATGTAGTTTTAGTATTTTAAATAATTTTAGAGGTTTATCACAATTGTGTATTTGCTTTGTTTTGATGAGTTGCTGGTGACATGCATGGTCTGTGTATTAAATCCTCAGTTACTGAGGTAATATCCAATTATAACACTGCTCCTGTGGGAAAGTCTGATCTATTACATGACCACCAACCTAATGAGGTAATTTCTCAGCACTGCGCTGGACAGCTAAGGCAGCCTCCATTTGGGGCTGAACTGTCATCTGAACTATGAAAAATGTTTCAGAATGCCACATAAATAAGCATTTCCTATACATAAGCCCATGCCCAAAACAACTCTTCAGTCCAACATGATGATAAAACTTGAAAGAAGAACTACTTAGAGCCACACAGAATTATGACATGTAGAAAAGTAACTGCATGGCTCATAAAAATTAAAATAGGCTTCGGCCTCTTTGCTCCCTTTCTCCTGTTTATCAGAGCTGAAGCAGACAGCAGAGTGGATCACACTTGTGTTACTCAGGAAGTGGCTCTTTCTTCCACTGCCATCGTAAAGATCTCAGTCAGAAAGAAACACAAGCTGCCTTGTGGAAAGGCTGGTCACTTCACATAAACACATCACTTCAAAGTACTTACGATCTTCGTCGGTCTGCACCACGAGCTCCTGGCTTTCCTTCCGCCCCTCGGGGTTCATGAGGATGAGCTTCACGCTGACATTGGTGTAGGGCGAGAGGTTCGTGATGGTGTGCTGAGGGTGGGCGTTGTCCGTGTCCCAGCTGACCTCTTCCCGCACTTGTTCCTGCCCTCCGACCTGGTAACGGTAGTGGACTGTGAGATTGTAACTATGGCAACGAGTGACATTATATCCAAACGGCTCCCAGCGGATTGTGATCTGTCGAGATTTGACTTCGACGACTTCCAGTTTTCTGGGGCCACGCATGGGATCTAAGATAGAAGAGAAGGAAAGAGAAAACACAGTTAAGAGAATGATGAAAGTTCTGGTGAAGCCCAGATGTCACAGATAATCTTATTGTCCCCAATACCTTGTCTCTTCTTCTTCCATATTAATAAAATTCCTAAACCTTAGCTGGGCATAAGACTGCCCAGAATAAAGACTAGACTTTCCAGCCTCTTCTGCAGGGAGGCCTGTCCTTGCGCTGAGTCCTGGTGGGTGGTATTCAAGATGAGATGTCAAGGACAGTTTCTGGGGGGTGTCCTTGAAAGGAAGGGGCTCACCATCTTTGTTCCTTCTTCCTTCCTATTAGCTTGATTGAGGATGTGATGTTTTGTGCTCATGCAGCCAGGAGGCATCACGGTGCACTTAAATGTTAGGAATTCAGGGCAATGATGAAGAACCCAGTGCTCCTGATCATCACTGCACAACCCCACTATCTCTGAAAGATCTACTTCTAAAATTTTCATTAGAGAGAAATACAATGCTTTTATTTCAGGCTCTTTTCCTCTGGGGCTCTGGTAGACAAAACCAATCTTAATGCTAATGGAGACACATATTTTATCTTTTTAAATTAATTCATAATTATGTAATTGGAAAATGTAAGAGTAAAAGCTTGAGAATTCAGCATGAAATAATACCATGATTAAAGAGTATAAACTTCTGAGCAGAATCCCAGGCCTTTCTGGGGTTTAATGTGTATGGAATTCACACAGTCAGTGCTGAAGCAGTTCTTCTGCTCCATCAGGTCTTAGCGTTATCCCTCAGTCCAAGCCCCAGGGACAGAGTTTCGAGCTTTGAGATCTAAATGACATGCAGGGAACAGCAGCATTTCAACTGGCTTAAAAGAAAGAATATACACAGAGAAGGCTTAAACTTGTTTAGGAAGTGATGTTAACTACATGACATTTAATGAGCACTTATTACATGCTGCACACTTTTCTAAGAAATTCACCTCTCGTGGGTTTGGGCAGAATCTAACCTAAAATTCTCTATTAGTATATCCATAAATATAACTGATCCATATATTTCGGTTTTTGTTCTCCTGAATGTGGTCATCAGGGACATAACTGCAAAGACAGCTGTAACTGGAAAGGGGAAATGAGCATGAAATGGAGAAGGAACAGCTACCGTTTACCGTGTGCGCACTTACTATGTGTAAGTTGTTTTATCTGTCGTGTCTATTCCTCAAAACAACCCTGCAACTTAAGTAATATTCTTCCCAACATACAGATGAGAACACTGACTTGTCTGGGCCAAGGTTTGACTGTGGCTCTGAATTCTCATCTGTCTGACGACGAAACCTGTGCTGCTTTCACTCTGCTGCAGGGTCTCTACCCAAACAAAGAAAACCAGAAAGAAGGAACCTGAGATGTAAAGATACCTGATCCCCCACCTGAAACATGGCCGAAGAATGTAAAATATAATAAAGAGCCCGTGTATCACATCTTGGGACGAGAGTGCTGGGAAGAACGCTTCCCCCTTCCCCTTCTGGTTCTACAGCAGAGGGTCCAGGCCACCTTCCCCAGGCCAGCTTTTCCAGACAACCCTACCTATGCTTTGCAGCTATTGGAAATCTGTCTGGACTACCACTGAAGTTCATATCTTGACTTTCATTTGTGTATAAATTCCTTCTTTTCTCCACCAGTTAGGACCTAGAGAGCACTGAGAGCCACCCTCTTTCTCTGTGACTCCAACAAATGAAAACGTTTCAAGTGAAATAATGCTCTGGGTTTCCATTTGCAAGATGGGATTTATCTGCCAGGTATCAGTTCACACCATACACGAGGTTAATAATGACCATTTATGCTACTCTGTCCTGCAATAACTCTAGAAACCAAGGACAAGTGAGAAGAAGAGTGCCCTGGAGAATCTGGAGTGGAAGGTTCTTACGGAGTGTTCCTTTTTACTAAATCTTTTTTTTTAACATTTAAGTTACAAGTGTTAGGGAAGATATCATACTTAAGTTACTTAGAGACAACACTGAAGGCTTCTTCCAGTCTAGTGACTTTTTATCATTTAAAGGCAATGTCTAATTTTATATAATGCTTCATTAGTTTGAATGTTTACAAAAACTTTTCAAAAGCCCCAGATCCCTTATATGTAAACAGATTAACATGCCAGAAATGTGTAACTTCAGTCAGCTAATTGCAACTCATAAGGCATTTCTGAAAGCAAAATGCAAACACTGCCCCGCAAATTTGTCACCTTTCCAAGCGCACAAAATGAGTCTCTTAGAGTTAGATGACAGGGTAGTGAATTATATCCACTAGCTGGAGGATATCTGCTTCTCTTTTCTCACGATCCTAAAGATGCTTCAGAGGATTCCAAGGCCATTCCTCTCCACACTCGCCCACTCAGCCTGCAGTGGGATGGGTACCTGAAGGCCCTGCTGGCATGAGTCGTGAGGCCGGTGGGTCCAGCCTGGGCCCACTGGCTCATGACCAGAGACCAGGCTGGCGTCCCTAAGGAGTGCAGTGGCTGTCAGGCCTAGAGCCCCGTCAGGGAGTTCTTGTCGATGCTGGTAGCATTCTTCCTCCTGTTCTCTGCCAGTTGGAGCCAGGTTTCAAGCAGAGATGTCTGACACTTGCAATTCTGACCCGAGGGACCAGCGAGCCCCGGTTCCAGCCTCCGGCACTTTAGCATCCTATGCAATCGGCGACCCTGCCTCCTCCTACATTCAGTCCTGTTTTTCTATGGATAAGGGCAGAAACTGACTGATAGGATCAATTTCCATTGCAGGTTCAATTCACAGCTCATTTCTCTGGAACTCTGCTCTAAACCTTCCATTACCACCACGGTGCTTTTTCAGAAACTCAATTTCAGAACCTGTGAGAGACACCTGGGAGTAATTTTAGAATCCTGTCATTGATAATCAAAAACACAGATTACAAACCAGTGCTCCTGCTAACAGGGTCCTCTCTTCTGCCTCTTCATGGACTATCCCAAGGTCTATTACAATAAAAGGAGTAGCAACTGGAATGGCACAAGGAGCCCCTTTCAGCATCTTCAGCTACTGAATTTCTGCCTCACTGGTCACACAAAAGGTGATGAAATAGTAAAGTAACAGCTTTATTTACATTACTATTCGGTTGAATCAGAGCAAAGACCTCATTAACTAATATTATCTTGACCTCCCCAGTTATCCAATGTTCCTCAGCAGCAAAGATGCCAGGTACACAGCACAGCTATGGTTTTTGAATTAGTCATTGTTTTCCACGGTTTAAAAAGTACCCTTTGTTAGTGAGGTTAAAAATTCAGAAATACATCAGTCTGCAATTTATGCATCCCAACATGCTGCTGGGAAATGCACTATCCACCCATCAGTTCTGTATCATTTTCATTTTGGTCGCAGTAGGAAGCTGGAATTCCTATTCATGTTTTATCGGAGATACAAAAGATGATATTACATAACAAACGAGTAAGACAGACTACGATTGGAGAATGCAGACCCTCTCAGGCAAGGGGGCGAGTCTGCAGGCACCCTGAGTCTGAGCTGCCGCTGACAGCATGGGGGGAGCACTCCCTGAAGGTATTGGGTGACCCTAAAAGAGCAATGTGTGCAAATGCTCTGCTTAGTTCTTGGTCTGGTTTGTACATAAAAAAGGGAAAGTAAAAGAATATATCCTAGGCCTCAGATTAGTCACCCTTGGTGTCTGGTTTCAGGCTAAAGTCACTAAGTCTTTTAGGAAAACATACTGAAAAATACAAAATCAAACAAACACCTGTGTACCTACTAACATCAAGTGTTACCATCCGTGTTTTCAGATCGCTTTTTATGAAAGAAATATAACAGTGCTGATATAAAGCTTATCCACATTTCTGCATGCTCTCTCAAGGTTTTGTGTCTCACTCCAGACGTGGTTTTGTATTTTTATTACCTGTATTTGGGATGATTAAAATTTCACATAAAATTTTAATGCCATTCTCTGCAACTAGACTCATTCAACATCAGTCAAGTTGCAAGACGCACATCTGGTTTAGATCTATAGAGAGACCGTTAGAGATCATTTTACCTGGTGCATAGAATTCCACTGAATAAATAAACCACAGTTTCCTTACACATTCCTTGATGAAGGAACAGAGACGTCGAGCCTGCCTTTTCTCTACTACAAGTGATGTACAGTGAGCACCCCCTACATACGTCCCCCTGGCCACCTTCCCTCCAGTGAACATAAAAATGGGACTGTTGGCTTGTTGAATCTGCACATTTTTAAGTGTACTAGATAATGTGAAATTGCTTCCCCAAAAGGAAATAAGGTTCAGTTGTTCCTCTTCCCCCAAAGAGAGACAACTGTTGTTATGCTGTACAATTTATGTCACTTACATACATTTTTCTGTTAATATCAAATATTACATAGTCACTTAATAGATTTTTATAGGGAGACACGAATATCCCAGAAACCTTGCTGGCTCTTTGAAATCTCCTTCCTGGAGAACAGCCCACCTTTGGTTCTTATGTAAAAAAGACTATGGTTACTGCCAGCCAGGCTGAAGGGAAGCAAGATAACATCTCATTGAAGATGTATCTGTCCTGAGAACACACCCATGGATGGGGCCTCTCACCTGAAAGCTGTACAAAGCCCTCTCCTCACTCAGTGAAAGAGGCATCACACCAGGGATGCTCTCATCCCTGGAACCAGACCTTTGGATCCCGAAGGCTGAGTCTCAGTCCTGGCTCTACCACGACGGGTACAGTTACTGCTTCCATGCACCCTGGCCAGACATCTGAACCTCAGTCTCTTTCATTCTCAGATACCCACGAGGCGCCCCAAAAGGAACTTAGGAAGAGACAGAGGAAGGCAACTGTCCAAGGCCACGGCCAGCCCATCTGGTACCCTTTGTGTACAACAGAAAAGCACCCCTTCCTCAAGGCACTTAATGGTATCTGCTGGAAAACCGCACCAGAAATATACAAATCTCTGGGGTGTATGCTCTGAACGGGCACTGCGTGTCTGTGCTGTGCACAACCTGCACGACCATATGCCGTGTG